CTAGGATGATGATGATTTTAGCAGTTTCAGCAGCGGTAGCGAGACAATGGAAATGTTTTGAATGACGTCAAAGATGACCACAGTATTAAAAAATTATAACAACAAATTACAAAAAATTTTATTATAACTATAATTAATTATAATAATAACAAGGGTAATGATAACAATGGCGATGACGACCGCCTGATTTGTAGCGACAACCAAAGACACACACAGATCAGCAGCGGCAATACGTTTTATTATTTCTGTTCTCATTCTCCAACTGTCATTTTATTGCCTGTGCTTGACACGTTAATATCCCAATAATAACTATAACAACTCGTAAACCACACACACACACACACACACACACACACACACACACACACACACACACATACACATACACACAAACACACACACACACACTCTTTCCCTCTCTCTCTCTCTCTCTCTTTCACACATACTCATACACACACAAACACACGCAAACACACAAACACACACACACACTCTTTCCCTCTCTCTCTCTCTCTCTCTCTCTCTCTCTCTCTTTCACACATACTCATACACACACAAACACACACAAACACACAGACACTCTCTCTTTCTCACATACTCACCCACACAAATATATACTCAAACACACACATATATATATATATACTCACACACTTTCTCTTTTTTTGCATACTCACACACACGCACACTCACGCACACACACACACACACACACACACACATACACATACACAGACACACACATTCATTCAATTCCAAAAATTGGTAGTCAGCTATAATTTCATAATAAAATTGGTGCGCGTGTCCTCTATAATGATGTGTTGCTATCGATAATCTGACCGACCTCTGACCTCTGCAGTTCACGTGATCGCATGCAATTATGACGTCATCATTTTTGGAATACCTGGTTTAATTCGAAAATTAAGCGAGAGAGGGAGAGAAAAGAGTGAAAAAGAGAAAAAGAAGAGAGAGAAATAAAAAAATGAATGAGATTGTATTGATAAATATACACATCCGTTTTTGTGCTAATCCTTTTGCAATTTATACCTGTTGAAATTCTTCCACGTTTTTGTTTCAAAACTTCAAATTTACTTCAAGCTTAAAAGTTCCATCTATAATTAACTGATAATAATAATACTAATAATAATATAATAATAATAATGTTTTAATAATTACATAAATAATTTTACCTATATTGAGAAAAACTCGTGAAATGTTTATGAAAAAGAAGTGACTCTGTTTTGTTATTCAGGTCCTCAACCTCTTCTCAATTAGGAGGACAAATAACATCTTTTAGTTGCGTTTCCGGTTGGCTTCGTTCTCTGTGACGTAACGGTGAACAAGTGCTCTGATTGGCTGCGGTCTCAAGATATTTTTACGGTGATGATGACGGTGATAGTATTAATAATAATTGTGTGAATATGATAGGAGACGATTGACGATGATAAGATGATGAGAATAGTTGTGATGTTGATTTTGACGATGTCAATTCATTTGAAATACGAGGGCTATATTAAGTCAGTTGTGATGATGATAGTAAAAACGTTGAGATGATAAGAACGATGATGACGATGATTAATATGGATGATGATGAGACTAATGGTGATGACGACCGCACCATCAACGACAAAAATGTTAGCGATAAATATAAAAAATATTTAAACTACCAATTAGGACATATTTGTTTTTCAGTTTAACAACTAAATTGATTAATTATATTAATTTATATATGAAAAAAAACCACCAAGTTTTTGGCAAACCTGCCAAGCAAGTTGGGTGAACGAGCAAACATTTAAAAACCGAACGAACGAACTAAAAGTCACTTCCGTTCGTCGACAGGAAACGGAAGTTGCTGAAGAATCGGATGTAAACAACGGGGCGTGACTGAAATACTTTGGAAGAGGATGCGTGCGTGCAGACGTTTCGACATATAATATTTTATTTTTTCATATTTATTATTTTTATTCTCATAAATATTATTTCAAACTTTTTCCGTTTAGTTTTGCTGTTGGTTTTTGTAAGGTGTTTATACTTGATTAAGCAAGTTTTGCATAAAGTAGATGCTTGAATAGAGAATTTTATGTATATTAATTTGAGTGCATACGTTGTAATTTTTGCTATAGGGGTGAGAGAAATGCATTGTCCTGTCCTGAGTTTCTACAATGCGTCAATGTACGTGTGTGTGTTAGTATGTGTGTGTGTGTGTATGTGTGTGTGTGTGTAGGTGTGTGTGTGTATGTGAGTGTATGTATGTATGTGGCGTGTATGTGGCGTGTGTGTAGGTGTATGTGTGTGTATGTATGTATGTGGCGTGTGTGTGTAGGTGTGTAGTGTGTTTATTGTGTGTATGTATGTGCCAAAGTTGATATTTGTGCTAAATTCCAACAAAATAATCGAGATAATAAATGCATTTGCTAAAGATGATTTTGCTTATTAATTCCACCATATTATTACCATTTCGACAAACTTTTTAGTTGGTTGTTAAAATATTTATAAATTGAAATCATACTCTAAACATTCTTTCTGCTGTCAAATGTTGAACCGCGTCAAGACCGTCTAAAAAATGTTACAAGTAGTCAAAAGCTCGCACTGAGAGAATATGAATGAAAGCCATTTGAAAAAATTGCCATCTATTTATCGATTCCAATATTGTTATGTAGTCAGCATCCAACCAACTATGATATTCCCACAGCGTTGTTAAAAACAACTTACAAAAACTTTGTTAAACAAATTTTTCTAAAGTCCACACTTTCATCATTTTCATCTTTTCTTTAATCATTTTTAAAAATTTTCAGCACCCCCGAAGAGACATCAAATGATTTAATAAAATGTGCATTTGAATGGAGTAATTCAAACAAGAAGGCATTTCATTCGCAATGTACGTATGAAAACCCCCGAACGAGCAAAATGTTATTCTGAATCGTTCCAAGTATTTAATTTTTGTTCGCCGCAAAGCATTTTTGTTCGCCCAGGGAATTCTTCGCATCTACAATAGGAAAATCATCACAACATCCATAAAGTTGTAAAATCTTATATAAACACCACCGTGATGTTGTTTTCAAATTTTTAATTTCATTCATTTTAGTAACAACAAAACCTCAATGCAACCAACAAACAAATACAAAAACCCACACACACAAACAATTTATACACATACGCACACGTTCATACACGCAGACCTACTACAGACATATAGTAGATAAACAATCACATACAAACATATTCAGATATTAAATAGGATGAAATAGGACTTAACACTACGCATATTACACGCCCACGCACGCACACACACACACACACAAATACGTACACATACATAGATGCACATACACATACACACATCCATGCATAAACATAAAAACCACATGGAAGCACGAGGAAATGCATAGCTGCTCCAGTCCCATCCTACTTTAATAATCCTCTAAACAAACTGCGGTGACATCTCTTGAAAGGAAACATTTGATAAATGACCCGACGCTCGTCATCACAAGAGAATAAGTACTTAATACTTTGAGTAAAAATTACTTATTTTTTAATAGTAGAAAAAATTTAGAAGTAAATACCACACAATATTACTACTTAGCGACATAAACTTCGCATTTTTTAACAATTTATTAATAGTTAGTTAGTATATAGTCTGTATAAACTGCAAATGATCTTTAGAATTCAATACATAGGGATTAGTTTACAATATATCACAAATGATGGTGATATCAACATCGTTGTCACCTTCATCATTCTTATCATCACCATCACTATTGCTATATCACCATCTTCTTAATCATTAAATCCTCATCATCGTCTTCTTCCCAAGGACGAATTTAGAAAGGAGTCGGAAAAAAATGGTCGCCATCCTAATTTTGGCCACGCAAACAAAAATTTTGACAGTTTTTGGCCTCCTTCCTCCAAATTTAAAAAATTTTCTGCCCCTCTTCGTCAACATTGTCAAGATCCGTCCTTTCATCTTCTTGATATCATTATCAATTTTCTCTTCCTCATCATCATAACATCATCTCCATCCTCATCCTCATCATCCTCATCATCAAAACGATGATGACGTCATCACCGGATCAAAAAGATGACGTCATCATCGATCATAACATCATGTCCTTATTAGTGCTCTCACGGGCGACGTTTACCTTCTGTTGAGACAACCAGCATCTTATCATCAACCTTGCATTAATAAGTGATGACGATGAGAATGATGATGTCAAAGATGATGATGATGACGACGACGATGATGATGCGTGTATTGTATGTGCATTAGCTTTTGTTAGCTTGCAGTTCTTTGTTGAATGAAAGTTACTGTTCAAAATTTGTTAAAGATATTCAAAAATTTTGACAGGTGGCAAAAAATTTATTAACTATGAAAAAGTGTAATAATACGATTAATAACAAAAGATTTATCAATAGCGATAATATATTAATATTTTAAATATCAATAATTACAATAAAATTAATGAAAAATAATATCATTGAGAAAAGCCAAAACGAATCGGTATTGACATTTAACACGCGCATACATGGTATACACATATTTTTTTGTATTCGTTAGATGTTATTTCACCAAATTTTCGGTAAACTATAACATGAACATAACGACGAATTTTATAGTTTTACTTTGGTTGATAATTATTTTTAAATAAAAATAAAATAATTTAAATGAAAACTCAATAGAAACCGGAAATCACCACCGTTTCAAAAACATTTTATAACATTACCGAAGTCATAGAGTATACTACTCCAAAACTTTATGACCGTACAATTACGGTGACACCCGAAAAAGAGAACATTCGTCTTTTAAATTGATTAACATTCCTCTCAGCGACATCAAAAAATCGCGTGTGTGTTCTTTTTACACGTGTGTGTGTGTGTACCACATATACACACGCACTGCAATACACACGCATGCAAGCACACTGTAGACATATACGCAGATTGTTCTAAATCTTTAAAAGTTTTCAGTTCGTATTTACATCAATCAAAAAATGACCACCGTTAAAATTTTTTTCAAAATTCTTGCCTTCTATATCAATAAGATGAAATAATACAAAATATGTATAATAATAACAATATTAGTAATAATAATAATAATAATAATAATAATGGAATGGAGGACTGTTATTATTTGTTGGAAAGAGCAGGATCACACGTAGTATGATCCGAGATGATGCGATGTTAAAGACGCACCCGGATGTGACGTCACGTTTCCGATAGCGGAATACAAGCTTCCGGAAGCGGGCGAAGTCGACGACCAGTATGGCGGACCGGAAGCGAACAAAGCGGAAGTTGTAGTTTGAAGTTGAGCATGCGCAGTCATGATATTTAAATTGGCGTTATGCGAGTGTTGATGATGGTGATGAAGGTGATGATGAGAGTAAGAAGATGGATGGGGATGATGATGGTGGTGGTGGTGAGGATTGAATAAGAGTTCGGCAGGTTGGTGGTACTTGTAGGGCAGCTGGTTCTCGCTCGTGTGGCTTGTGGTCGGCTGCATCGCCTGCGCCAGTCCCGCGAAGTCGAATTTGTAAGCGTACCTCTTGCCGTGGACCTTCGTCATTATGTTCTTGTCGTAGTAGTATCTGGTGGTTGATTGGTCGGTTGGTGATTGGTTAGTTGGTTAATTGGTCGGTTGGTTGGTTAAATGTTTGGTTAGTTAGTTACGGTTGGTTAGTTAGTTGTTTGGTTGTTAGATCAATGTTTGATTGGCCAATGAATTCAACAAATGAATAATTTTGAATACAATATTATTTAGGCTGGTTAAATGTTTAAGCGAATTATTATTTCAACCAAGCATTTAATGTTTAGCTAAAAATAAAATTAAAATTAAAACAAAGTTTTGAAAAAATATATAAATTTATCTCAACGAACAATATTGAATTAGAGGTCATTCAATACAAATATAAAACTACACCAACACTCTTAACCTCTAACCTTGTTTAACCTTTAACCTCTGATTTCCGAGAGAGTTATTGAATGGTACTCAAACATGAAACACTGTCTCATGTATAACGTATTGTACACACACGCGCGCGCGCACACACACTCACACACACAAACACACACACACATACACACACACATCAAATGTATTGTCCACTTTTGTTTCAAATGGAGTAAATGTATGTTAGACGATGTATTGCAATAACAATATTATTAGTTAGTAGCCAGGGGTAGTAACTGCTTGTCTGTCTGTCTGTCTGTCTGTCTGTTTGTCTGTCTGTCTGTCTGCCTGTATAATCGCCGGATGTTTCTAACTTATGCAAGACACTTCGCAAGTAACCAAATCTTACGATATACAAAATGATAGAAGTTGAAACAATTTTAAATGAAACAAAATAAAAAACAAAACGCAGAAAAAATGAAACAACAAAAAACATGCAATCACATCTACCCAACCTACCACCACAACAACAAACGACAAATATATCGCAAAAATTAACAATCCAGAAGCAACAGCAGGAGCAAACAAACCTCAGGGCTCGACTCATCTTGTCGTAGTTCATGTTCGGTTTGGACTTCCTCTCGCCCCACCTGCGGGCCACCTCGTCGGGATCGATCATCTTGAATTCCCCATTCGTGCCCTCCCACGTGATGCAACTCGAGTTACCGCAGTCCGACAACAACTCCAGCAGGAACTGCCACAACTGGATCTGCCCGCTTCCTGGTTGTGATGATGATGATTATGATAAAGTTGTTGTTGTTGTTGATGATGATGATGATGATGATGTGGAGAAGGAAGAGGTTGGTTGACTTATTGTTTGAATGATTATATATACCGATGTTATTATTATTTAAATAATGATATCACCCCACAAATGATCCCGGCAATAATGATGACGCAACAACGGTAATAATGAAGTCAAACAATGAACATGGAATAAATTACAAAGAGATGCTGGTGTTAAAGTCGGTTATCTGATACCGAACGTACAAATAATTACCCGTATTCGACAATCGCCTGGATAGCGGTCCGAATAGCTGGTACGGATCTGTTGAGATTTTAATGAATGTTTGTTTAATGATTTATTTGTTTGTTATTTGTTTGTTATTTGTTTGTTTGTTTTATTTTTTGTTTGCTTGCTTGCCTGCTTGCTTATATTTCTCTTAGTTTGTACAATATTTAAATGTATAAATTTATAAATGTCGAAATTTTAAAAAGAAATTTTAACGAATAATTACAACTTTCTATTAACATAAATTTATACAACATTGAAACAAATAGGATATAATTCACATG